CACAGATATTCGAGAGGGCTTCCCATGCAGCGCACCGGATTCCTCAGATCGTGACATACACCCGGGTGATATTGCTACAGTGCTTCTTCGAATGCATGAAAGTAGGTTTTCCAAGATTGCCTTAAAATACACTGTACAGACTGGAGCTGAGAATATTTACTGCTGCAGCACATTTCTGCTGAAACATCTCGTCGCGACATGTAGCTGTCCCAGACTGGGGTTTACAATTTGGCCTTTGGCCGCTTCTTTTCCATCGTAATTTGGAGTGGTCTTGGTTGATAATTTTTTACATCATTTTTTCGAAATGCTAGAGCAAAAAAAATATCCGCCTGTATTTTTTTTTACCGGGAACTTTGCCTCTAAAAATTTTCATCAGCTACTCGTTCTGCGCCTTTCTAGAATCGATGGCACTGCACTGTAGCTTCGTTAAAGCAGAGTCGATTTTGCAGGCCCTGCGTTGGGAGTGCATTCAAATCAACTACGAATCTATACCCCTCGAGCGGAGTTCCATGCTCCGATAGTGCCAGCATCATTTGGAATCGGCAGTGCCTGCAGCGAGAAATCCCAGCACAAACGTTCGATTATTACACAGTTCCTAGTTACTGGCACAGCGCAGAGTGTCGTAGCCGTAGTGTCGAGGCGTCGAAATTCAGCGCCGATTGCAATGATATTATGAGTTCTGTCTATCCATCCGGCCGGCGTTTCGCTACTTTGCAGAGGTCTTTTTTCCGTAATTTTGGATATTGCAGACCGTTTTTTCTTTCGTGGTTTCTGGTGATTTGTTAATTTCTTCATTCTTTTTTGATAATTTGTTGAAATTAGGGTCATTTTTTATTTTTTTCGGTAGATTTATTGGCCATTTTTTTACTTTTTTCCTTTCAAGTAATGTGAAACTTTGCAGCAACCTCGTTGTGGGATATTTTGAATGTGAATTTCAGTTGCTAGAAATATGAAGTGAGAATAATTTTCTGGTCCATCGGTATGAAATTGTGAGTAGCACTGTTAATGCCCAAAAATGATGATTATTTTCGTTGAAATGAATGGTGCTTCTAAAGAAGACGGCTTATGTTGTGCAGGGGTAGAGTTTGCTAATTGTTTGGTGCAACGATTCACAGGATTCTGTGCTTTCCGATTCCATTAGCAACAAATGCACAGCGCCGGAGTATTTTAGTGTGAAAATTGGATCTTGATTAGTCTTACAAATGTGCTTTCTTCAGCTCCTAGCCTATTCTGACACTGAGGGCACTGAGTGCTCGCTGATCCCAGTTTTGTGCCCGAAACAGATGTACGTGGCATCGGTGATCTGAAGAAGGAGGAGGGACCAGCAGTCGGCGAGTACCACCATCGCTTATTCCAGTATTTTGTCCTGCCTTGTCTTGCTTTGTTGATTTACGACTCCGCAGGAGAACTGCCTGCTTGGGGAGAACTGTGCCTCCTTTCAAAGGACCTATACACTTATCGTAGCGCTTTTCCGTTTCTCAGTATCTTTGTGTTCTGGAAAAGACCATTATTTGGACACATGTTCCTTGATGCGCACTAAGCAGCAAGCTTTTGAACTGATAGCATTGTCCAGACGCGCACCGTTCTTGTTCGGGCTTTATTTGTGAAATTCTTATCGGAATTCTAACAAAAGTTCGCTGCTGCATTTTTTGTCGTAGCTATTTTTGAATAGATATGTCGCAGCACGCTTCTTAAATCCTGCAAGCGCCTTGGATTTTAACTATCCGACAAGTGTCCTTGGCCATTTTGAAATATCAAACTCATTTGACCTGTTGTCATATCCATAACGATACGAATTAGCACTTGTGTCAGTTGTTGTGCCCACGATCACCGGCTGGCAGCATTTCCCTCGTCGTTGTGCGGTTTACTGAGGATCTGTTTACGGTACGGTGGTGAGCATTAAACAAGCTGGTTGCTGATGTTACGTTTTTACACTCTCATCGCATAACTGAGTAAAACGTCCGGTCTCCAGCTGCATTACCCTCCGATTACTTCCTTCACTTTTTGCATCAACAAATCGCATAAAATGGTTTTCCGGTTAATGGCAAGGATAAAATGGTTTTCCCAAAGCGATTGTTGACTTGGATGGTGCGGATTCCCTGGAGTTCTCAGTGTTGATGGTGATAACTAAAGACAGAATTCATAATAAAAAATTTAATATTTATAAATTGATTGCAGACAGCATAGATCTCTCGACGGAATGCAGTCGGATGAGTATCGGCCGTCTGACATCCCGACGCATCTTCCGCTGGACATTTCTACGACTGGTGTGACGCCGTCACAATATGTTGGCGCATCGCTCTCCAATCCAACCACGACCAATGCCTATTTTTGGAAGCAACCAACCAGGTATTTTTTTAGCCGTGGACAGCGCCTGCTTCGTCTTATCACTCCTGATATCCGGGTTTGATGCCTATATTTTTTGTTGCTGATGTAATAGGTGCTTGGTTTTGTAGTCGAAATGTTTCAGCAAGGCTCGATTTTTTAATACTTAAGGCCACTCAGAGATTTGTGCATGGAGGCGGGGATGAAGGTTCAGAGGTTTTGAGGGCCTTCTGCTTCTTGCGCTGGAGAAGTATCGAAAGTCTTGACGAAATGGAACTCACGCTGGGACGCACCGGGTGGGCCTGTGCGATCATGTGTTTTTGGATCGGACTTGTGATATCCAGGTTATTAGCTGCGTGAGTGGTTCTTGCTTTACACCTACCTTTTGCGGTCACTAGCATAAATTACCATAAATTTTGCATAAAGTAAATGTACAATTTCCATTTAAAGGTCGTTTTTTAAAAGTAACCTAGCTGTTCAGTGAAGAATTTTTCCGCCAAAAGTTTTGTGTGCCCGTACATAATAAGCAAGCATACCTCAAGGCTGAATTTGAAATACTTAAACTGTACTTGGACAAGGAACATTTTCCCTAAAATTTCAGCTTTATAGCTTTTCTGGTTCCCGAGTTAGTAATTTTCCGCAGAAAATTTCATACGCCTTTACGTGAGTACAGCGCATAAGTGGGGGCTGAATTTGAAATGTTTGGGTTGTACTTGGACAGGGAACATTCCCCCAAAATTTCAGTCTTTCCAGCTTTTCTGGTTACCGAGTTAGCAATCTTCCCGTCAAAACTTCCACAAGTCCATACGTGAGTATTTCACGTGCCTGAAAAGCTGAATTTGAAATTTCTAAATTGCACAGGGATAGGGAACTTCCCCTCCCCTTAAAGTTTCAGCTGTAAACTGGCTGGGAAGTACCAAATGATTTTACTGGTGTAATTCAGTTAAATCGATTTAAACTGTTTTCGGTAAGACGGGTTTCACTAGGACGCATGTCCAAAACGAACGAGGTGGCCATTGATTACGTATATTTTTTTAATGCGTTTTTTGCAGCTATGCAATGCAGAAAACGCATATTGACGAGAAGTTGTCTGTGTGTCTGTGTGTTCGTCTGTACCGATTTTTGATCTCGAGACCGGCAAAAGCTACAGGGGTGAAAATTTGGGGACATAATCTACATGCACGTACGGGCCCCCATCCCCAAAATTGGCACCAAAACCCGCGTGGTACCCGCGTACGGGCCCGCCAAAGTTTTTTTGGGGTCAGTGCATAACTCGAGGATCTGAAAAGCTAGAAGGCTGAAATTTGGGACAATGTTCCCCACCCAAGCTGGTACTAGTGGGCTCAAACCCAGCTCCCGGGTAAGCATGGTACCCCCGTACGAGCCCCCCAAAATTTTTCCCGTGCAAATTCATAGCTCGGGGATATAAGAAGTTAGAAGGCTGAAATCTTGGAGTAATGTTCCCCACCCAAGCGGGTATTAGTGGCTCAAACCCACCTCCCGGGTAAGCGTGGTACCCGCGTATGAGCCCGCCAAATTTTTTTTTTTTGGGTAAGTTCATAACTCGGGTATCTGAGAAGCTAGAAAGCTGAAATCTTGGGGG